GGCCTGTGTGGTCTGGGGCTGCTTGCCACCCCGCAAGGCAGGGTTCAGGGCGGCCAGAAGGACAGGGACAGGGATGGGGTGGAGGGAGGCCCTTACCTTACTGAGGCTTGGGGCTGGGAGGGATGAAGCCTGGAATGGCTTGGATTGGAGTGGATCCTCGGCTAATGACTGGTGGATTTGCTTAATGACTGCAACAGAGAGTGCTGGGATTGCTGTTGCTAAGCAATGCAGTCACGTGACATCTTGCTTTACAACCACGTCACTTAGCAATGGAAATTCTGGTCCCAATTGTGGTAAGTCGAGGACTACCTGTATGTTTTGTTTTGTTTTTAAATACAACTGATAAAAATGGTGTCTGTTGTAAAACATCAGAAATGTATTGAGCTGCTCTGGGTACGTTGTCTTATTACCTGTATCAGGATCGTAATCCATATAAAGATCATGACACTAAGGCATTTTTATGTGCAGAGTATAATGATGTAAAGCAGCAGTTCTCAAACATTTTGGTGTTAGGACTCCTTTACATTCCTAAAAATGATTGAAGATTCCTAAGAGCTTTGGTTTATGTGGATTTACTGTACTGTATTAGAAATTAAAACTGAGAAATTTTAAAATAATTTATTTGACTTTGCGGACCCCCTGAAAGAGTCTCCAGGACACCCAAGGGTCCCCAGAACCACTGATGTAAAGAGATAGAAAGTATACAGTAGCACCAGATGATTTGGAAAGTAGCTTGCACTTGTAACTTACACTGGAAGAGCAAAGAATTATTAACACCAGAGGCTGTTTGGAAGCACATGAAGAATATAGAGACGGGGGTTGGTGGTGAGGGAGGCAAGTTTATGTTGAAGAAAATAGTTGGTAAGGTAATTTGGTCAAACTGTAATTTACTCATGTTTTGAACAGAGTTTTTTTCTCCTAACACCAGACAGACCCCTTTTAACCTCCTGAGGATACTGTGAAGTTTATCTTAAGGGAACTGTCCGTGGATAGTTCAGGTTGGATAAGTGATGCCTTACATTGTCTCTCATTTTGTTCAGGATTTAAGGCAGAATGGTTGGCAGTGAAGGATGAGCATCTCTATGTAGGAGGCCTGGGCAAAGAATGGACCACAACTACGGGAGAGGTGCTCAATCAAAATCCAGAATGGGTGAAAGTCATTGGCTACAAAGGTGATGTGGCTCATGAGAACTGGGTGACCAATTACAATGCACTCCGGACTGCAGCTGGGATCAAACCTCCAGGTGAGCAATGGACAGGCTTGTAGTGCAACATAATAAACCTGCCAGCATCTGGATAGTGTGTGTAATTCTGTTTCTAATACTTTTTTCCTGAAAAATGAAGGCTTTATTTATATGCACCTAATTGTTGGAATTAAAGAGGCAAAGAGGATTTGGATTTTTAGGATCAAAAATACAGGTGTCCTTAGAGAGAGAAGGCAGAGCATAATGTCTCCTCTTTATTCTTGTGCTGCCTATGATTTACCAAAATCAATATCTATAAAGTTTCTACCACCATCCTTTAATGTTGTAATAGTCCGGTTCTTTTCCCTTGGAACTATGCCAGCTGATGCTGTATTATAATTCATCTGGTGTCGCTTGTGGATGTCTATCTTGGTTCTATATACTTCCCAGGTTACTTGATCCATGAGTCTGCCTCTTGGAGCGAGAGACTGCAACGCTGGTTCTTCCTGCCACGCCGTGCCAGTCATGGACGCTACAATGAGCAGGAGGATGAGCATCGTGGCACCAACTTGCTTCTTAGTTCCACACCAGACTTTACTGATATCACTATGAGCCATATTGGTGATATCATTCCCACCCATGGCTTCTCTTCCTTCAAGTTTGTCCCTGACACTGATGATCAGATAATTGTGGCATTAAAATCTGAAGAGGATGCTGGACATGTGGCAACCTATATCACTGCCTTCATGCTGGATGGGCGTTGCCTGTTACCTGAAACTCGCATTGGTTCTGTCAAATATGAGGGCATTGAGTTTATCTAATTGAAAGAATTCATACTTTTAAGCAGGTCAGATGAACTGCTGAGAGATGGCAGAAGTTCTGTTCCTGGTTTATTGCTCTAACTGCTGCAGAGCATTAAGGGACATTGAAGTGCTTCTCTTGACATAGTTTTCACCTCAGTAAAAACTACTTTACAATTGTAGCTTGTTTCTGTGCTGACCCCTAGTGGTACAAAGTGTGCAATGCCTGTATGGCCTTTTTTCCCCCTCCGTTGCATCCTAGGACTTAGCCCACTCCCTGCTTTATTCAACCAAGCTATTGATCTGGCAGAACAAACCTAGTGAAGAATTGCCTTATTCTTCCCTATTCCACCTTCCTTCCCCCCTTACTATTCACATGTGCCTTTGCTGAGAAGAGGAAGTCTTCAAACCCAGTTATTCAGCAAAGATATTATTCAAATTTTTGGAAGGTCTGCCTTGGCTCTGCCTATTCCTGCAACAATAGTTTTATCTGCACAGGTACCTCTTTTTGATAGAAAATTGCAGGTGGGACTTTGGCCTCTAGTCTGGAACTTTTCTGGTAACAGCAGAAAAGGAGCTGATGCCATAGTTTGGGGCATTTTGTCTTTGGAACAAAAGGCTCATCTTCTGTTATGAGCGACCTTATGACTGAGGCAAAGAGATCCCTTTATGCTAGTCTTAATCTTGAGATATCAAACTTCATATTGGTAAGAAACCTAAAAGATATATAACAAGCCATAATTGGCTTCCAGTTTTAAACATTACATTCTCAGGATATGTACTGGAGTGTTATTCAGGTCATGGTTCGAAAGTTTGTTTTCCCTGATCCTTCATTTAAAAAAAAAAAAAATTGGTTTCAGTGTTAGGAAACAAGATCTTATGAGAATACTATAGCTGGAATCAGGTTCTGAAGTTATTCCATCTACAGAATTTTTAGCATTCAGTGTTCTTTTGCGTGTAATAGAATGGGCAAGTGAACTTACTTTGGCTTCCATGTCCCTTCCTTGTTCTTGAACATTTTCTTTTAAGTTTTATGGCAATCCTAGCACTGTGTCTTATTTTTCAAATAAATTATCAGCAGCTTTTCTAGTTCGAAGGTCTGTGGTGACTTTAGTTACCTGAATGGAACAAAAAAAATAATGTGTTGACAGTCATGACAAGTGCCAACTTTTGAGCAGATAAGATAAAAATATATGTTTAAGAAACACAAATATTATGGAACAGTTTGTAGGAACGTAGGCTACAGAAACTCCAAAGAAACGTAATGATTTTTTGGGTATGCCAAAATGTACATGATTGAAGCCTATGCCATAAATGTGTGTGAAGATAAATGAATGTGCTTTATACCAAATCAGACCATTGTGCTCATCGTACTCAATATTGTCTATTCTAACCGGTAATTCCCTTTAGAGTTTGGTCCTAGGCTATTTTGCATGCAAAATATGTACTCTATCATTGAACAGCAGTTTCTCATTCACAGAATATCTGATGCAATTTTAGTGGGGATTGACTTATATCAGATGTTCCCCAAATACTTCTACCCCAACATCTTCTGTTTGTATCTTAGAGCATAAACTATAAAATGATACATTAGGAGGGTGGAATACAAATCTCTATATAAATGATCTCTTTTGAATATTGTGTGAAATTCAGAAAGACTGGTCACTAGATGGCAGTACTTGTTTGTTACACAGCCATGGCATGAAGAGCTCCTTCAGCTTGCCTTGGAATGATCAGTACGCCCTCTGGAGGTGTGGCATAATGTTTACATCAAATGTGTCAAGTCCAATCAGTATTTGTGTGTGTTGGCATTTGCTGTTAAATATACTTAAGATTTAGATCATAAATGTAAGAATCCAAGACATACAAAAATAATAAATGAGTTTGGACACACACAGTCAGATTTTGATAACTGCCTCCCATTTTATGTAGAGAATATTGCCTATAAAGTTGAATTACTTTTAGTAATCTGCTAATAAGAGTTAAATTGGCAAAAATGATTACTTAGTAACAATTTAGGGATTGTTTCTGGGAGGCTCAGGTATGACGTTTAAATATGAGCTCATTAGCATCACCCTAGCTCTTTGTGTAGTATACCTTTTTTGTTAAGGGATTGATAACAAGAAGCAAAAATAATTATTTGAAGTTCAGTTAGTAGGAACTTTCATGTGAGCAGAACGCTAGAACTCTGGAAAAATGCAAATATATTTCTGATTTCTAAATCGTTCTTTTTCAAACACTCCACAAAGGAACCTACATACTAGCTAATTAAAACCCTGGCGGAAACACTGTCCAATTGTTAAGCATCTTCATCTCTGGGCAAATTAGCAAGTTAAAGTCTTATTTGGATATCATGGTAGTTTCTTTTATTCTAAGGGCCTCTGCCTGGATGTTTGACCTGTCCCATGGATGTTTGACCTGTCCTGTTGAATCAGCCAGCCCAAACTCAGTCAGAGCTAATCTTCAAAGGCAGGCTTCTGATTAATCCCCAAATTAAGCTACTGAGCCATTGATTTAATCGCATCCTTGTATGTCCAAAGTTGTATTCTGTGTGGTTTTGTTCAACATTTTTAAGTTTTAGTTGAGTTCAGCTTTATTTAAGGAAGCTCACAGAATTCAGCAGTCAGATGTTTTACATGGCTCTACAATCTTTGTATGAATTGCTTGGCAAGTTGCCCCCTCCCCATAATCTCTGATGCCCTCTAAATGTATCGGACCATCTCCCATATGCTTTAAATGGGATGACTAATAGCAATGCTGTCTTGAGGGTCACGGAAGTCCAAAATGTCTACAGTAGAAGGGACAAGTTTGGAGAAGGGTACCCAAGTTCACTCTTACACAAACAAGATAAACTATTACCAGTACCATCATTTTTCTCTCTGTAAATAACCTTACCTTATATATCCAGATACAGTGTCATGTTCTCTATGGAAGTTTCATTTTTAAAAGATGAAATTTAAAAAAAAAGATGTAAATAGAGAATAACCAAATGCCTTAAGAGAGAGATTCTCTTAAAATATTGTTAATCAGGTTTACTGCAAGGAAAAGGATTAGATTAGTTGCCAACTGGTTATGTACATACTTTGGCCCTGCCTTTTATCAGTGTGTGTGTTAAGGTGAGTCCTTCTTGATCCCTTTGATCCCTTTCTGCCTCTTGATTTAATGGGGAATTGGCTAACCATTTAAGAGATACGAACAGAAGGTGTCCTTGTTCTGCAGCATTTTGCAAACATCCATTCTCATTCCCAAGTTCAGAGGACCTCTTTGGAAGAACAGCTGGAGATGGGACGCACATTGGCAAATAACAGAGGGGTCTGAACCTTCCCAACTATGCCTTTGGGCCTGGCTTCCCTTTTGCCTTGGTGCAGCTTCTGGTTTTGGGTTATGTAGTACTGCCACCAACCACCTTCATGGAGGAAAGAAGTACCTTGCCCTGATTCTTTCCCCTTAATACCAGCTTTTGAGAGAGAGGGGGCTCACAGTCTGAGCGATTTACCTACAAATGGCCTGATGATGATAAGGTGGAAAATAAACTCTGTAGCATCACCCCTGGTCTTTGTAGCTCTGAGGCATGTAGCCAGAGACTAGTAGCTCTGTAGCCTTGTTCCCCTTTTTAATCATATATTTATTAAGCATTTCTGAGAAAAGGGAAAAGAAAAGCAGACAAGGAGAAAAGACAGAAAGAAAGAGAACACAACATGAATAAATGGCATTTACAAGCATAGGACTAGGTTAATTTTTTCAATATTTAATTAGTTTTAAATAACTGAATATATTGTTTTAAAAGCTCCAGATCATTGTTAAAATCGAGGTCATATATAAATATCAATAGCAGTCAGCAGAATATAGATCATAAAATGAGATTAGGAATTGGAATAACTTCTGTCCGAACAGTTGAAGATCTATTTGAAGGTTAAAATATTTAGACTTCAAGAGAAACTCAAATTTTGGATGTGGTACAAGCCTGCATGTAGAATTACAGTTCAAAAATGGTTTCCAAATTGAGTTAAATTCTGTGTCAGATTTACTTTTAAGATAGTAAGTTATTTTGGACACTGAAGCAGACTCCTACAACTTAATTAGCCATGCAGAAGGTACTGTACATACTGTACAAGTATCCATGTAATAGTTGCCATATGCAAAACTAATTCAGTATACTTTGTGGGAATGTAAAGTTTAGTAATATTTACTTTTTTAAAAATAAGTTCAAAAGGAAATTTAGTTTTTAGAATTTTTTTCATTATAAATTATTTTCCCAAAATTGTTAGACTTTACTAAATTGCCATCAAATATAGAAAAATAATCCAATGTGGTTGTAACATTTCCAACAATTTTTAGAGAATGAACTGTCTATGTTAGCAATTAATACTGGAGTAATATACTCATGTAGAACATATACCAGTTTTCTCTAATATTTGGTGTGAATTTAATGTTTCTCTTCCATTAACATTTCTCTTGTGCATGTCCATTGTTGTATCTAAATTCTGCATCCATTTAATCATAGTCTTTAACTAGCTCATTTTCTGACTCATGTTTCATTGATAGTTTATAAATAAGGCCCAACAAATCTCCAAATTATGTGTTAATAAGGTTTTCAAATTGAGTCAAGCGTCTAACTGTTTCCCTTTGGTTTTTGCAATTCTTTTAAAACTATTGCTTATTTGAAGATACTGAAACTGGTAGCGTGGTTCTGGCTATTCCAAGGAGAAAGTCTCAAAAGATGTTATATTTGCCTTATTAAAAAATAAAATCTTGCAGTTTATCTGAGTTGATATCTCTCCACTGAGCAGTGCTTTCCTCTTCATAAAGATCAATATTTAATAACAAGGTGAGAGGTGATAATTCTGATTCTTTTCCTGTATTTATCCCAATCCTTTAATACATTGCTTATTATTACATAATCGCATATAAACTTTTGTTTGTATCAGTCCGAAGATATTTGTGCAGATCATCTGAGAGTCTTGCTCCTTCAGTAGAGGTAATGAGGTGATATGATCTAATCAGTAATTCAGGTTAGACAACCAGCTTCATAATATAGTTTAAAGATGGGAGCTGCCAGGCTACCTTGTTCTTTCAAATCCTGTAGCATTGTAAATTTAATCCTTGGTATTTTATTGGACTATACAAATTGTGTTACTTGCCTCTGCCAGTCATTTAATACCTTATTTTCAATTTTTCTTGGAATAATTTGGAACAGAAAATTAATCCTTGGTAGATTATTTATTGTAATGGCTGCAATTCTTCCTAACCAAGACAGTTTTAACTTTCTCTATCTTAAAATATCTGCTGTTACATTTTTCCAGATGTGTGAGTAACTATTTTTAAATAGATACTATTTTTGTCAAGTCATTCCTACATACAGGTCGTCCTCATTTAGAAACAAATTCATTTAGCGACCGTTTGCAGTTACAGTGGTGATGAAAAAGTACCTTTGTGACCAATCCTTGCCTTTATGACCTTTGCAGGTTACAGTGCATAAGGCAAAGGAAAGCTGAAGTAAAATCATAAAATTGTGATGTTTCACTTAGCGACCGCTTCACTTAACCAAATTGCCAATCCCAATTGTGGTTGCTAAACGAGGACTGCCTGTATTTGCAGTAATGTTAAATCCTGTACAGAAATTCTTTCTCAGTTAAATTCCATGACAACAACTGAATTTTATCTTATTGATCCAATGTTGACAGCAAACCATACTGGTATATATATTCTATTATCAATTCTAAATATTTGTGGTTACTTTGGTTGAGTAACTGATGAGTACAACATCATCAATATATAATTTCAGTTTATATTTGTGAGTTGCTAATTTAATTCCTGACCCTAATGCCAACAAGAATAAGGCAGGTAAAAGTTCATTATGGTACATGTTTGTGATAGAAACCATTTACTGTTATCATGACTCCTTGTTCCTTATACTCTGTATCTGTGTGACTCACAGGGATCACACAGTTAGACCCAGAGTTCATTTTCAAAGACCCTTACAAATTATCAAAAGTTTCCTCTGCATTGAGAAAGAGTCATAGCCACCTTCTTACTTTTCTGATTTACATGATCAGTAACATTCAAGTTATATCTGATGTCTCTCATGTATATTTTTGGAACAAATCCAGTTTGATAAGGATGTATGATGTATTAATTCAGTTAAAAGTCCATTTATTGCCTTCGCAAGTATTGCCATAAACAGTTTGTAGTCTGCATTCAGTAAGGAAATAGATATGTATGACTTTGGATAGATTTAGTGATTTCCTTTTTTATAGATCAGAGATGAAATCTTCTTTCCACTGCAAAGGAAGTTCTTGACACTGTTGAAGCCAACTGATTACCCAATAATAGTGGTTTAGCCTAAATTTCTTGTTTCTTTAGCAATAGGTAAGCTGCAATTTATCTGTTACCTTTTTCAAAATACTTCTTTTTAACAAAATTCAACTACCCTATCTCCTTTTGAAGAGATGAAAACAAAAGCATCCATCTTATGATTTAAAAATCATGTTATTAAAAATAGGAAAAGGGGGGGCAAGTAGAATTTTATTTCAGGTTGTCAAATGTACCTAAAGCTAAAAAGCTACAGTAATGCTATATTTTACCTATACGTGAAAGATTCATGTTCACCTCACATGAACACACATACTAGTTAGAAACTCACCCAGTCCTTACCAGATTAGAGAAGGTATCTACAAGTTGTTACATGAAAGATTACAGTATATAGAACAGAAGCTTAATTAATGGTCTATAAAAGCAACTTCTTGTTCTTCCTCTGCTTCTGTTCAGTTCTGCTCAGAGGCTTGTCAGGACCAATGCTGCAACTCCTCAGTACCTCCATTCAAGAGTAAATGCAAGAAGAAATTGGTTTAGGATAAAAGTCCAGCAGGATCTGCGCTTTCAGATATTCTGCTCTTGCTTTTCAGCCTCCGAAGGACGCTGGGCTGCTGCAATGCACACGACATTCTCTATCTTATATCCATGCTCCCTCTCTGTTTCACACATACACACTATTTACATGAACCACATAAAATTAGGTTTTAACAATAGCTCCAGGCCACTGGATATTTTCTGTCCTCTTTGCCCACAAACCCAAGTATTTATAGGAAGGAAGCATGATTATTATGATTACTCATTCTGATTAGCATAGATACTAAAAAAAAAACCTTTTAAAAATCAGTGTGGCCTTAATCCAGGTATCTGTTGGCAATTAGCTCATTGCACATAAGGGTGTACAGAAAATGGGAAACTTTCCTCCTAACCCTGCTGAGCACCAAGAGCTGCATCTTTTCTCTCATATGTACAAATGGGTATGGTCATATACCATTTTAATTAGAGCTCATTGTGAGCTCAAAGTTGAAAAAAACTGCTCTAAAGAAATTAGCAGCAGCCAGTTTGTGGATCCATGTTTCCAAAGTCTCATTCATGTGACCTAAAGCAAAAAGGCTCACTTGAACTTGATGCTGTTAATCTTTCTTTGAGAGTCTGCTTAAATGTACAAATACCTATTTATTTTATATCCCATTTTTTTCCATTGTGAAATTCATTTATTCAGCCACTCTTGTTCTGTTGTCCATCCACTTCAGCAGAAAGCAAGATTGTTCAGTATTTCTTTCAACAAAATTGATTGAAAGCAGATTGGAAAAAGTTAAAGAAATCTCAGCAATTGGATTGCTTTCACTTTAGAATCTAATTTATTTCCCATATTGCTAAGGTGGAGACTTTTTCAGTCTTGTACTTAAGGCCTCAGTATGATCTGCTGAGAAGGCTATTCTCTCAACTGGTAAGTGAGGAATGTCCTGTGCTCAACAGGTGAATCTCTCACAGAAACTGAACATACCATTAAATCCACTGACCTAATCACACATCATGTGCTTTCAAACCATGCCCTGGGAAGCTGTCTCCCATCTGCATATCTGAATTGCTCACTATGCATGTGCTCCTGAAAAATGGTGTGCTTTCCCCAGTACTGTTGTGGTGCTAGAAGGGTAAAACAGTTTCCAAGGTCTGCATTTGACCGAAAGGGTACAAGAGCAGTCTGAGTAATACCTAGCATGAACGTTAGGCTTGATGCCACGCAGTGACATTTCACAAGGTGACATAAATAGTGAAAACAGAAAAGAAAAAACTCCCAATATCTCCTTATGAGATGTCACTGCATGGCATCCTGGTACCCTTTGGATCGGGAGTTTTTTCTTTTCTGTTTTCACTATTAAAATTATCTATTTTTTTTGCCATATAGTTTTGGGGATGTTAGTTTAACTAAAACGTAGTTTTGTTTGCCATTGTTACTACAATAACTGTATCATCTTTATTACCATTGATACTGGTTTGAAAGTTTGATACAGTTACAAAAAATTGTTGATGATTTGGGATGATCTAAGATTAATTCAGCAGCGCAGAGGCATTGATCTTTCATTTATTTTTCAGAGTCCATCTGTACATTTGAATCAGACAGGGAACAAGAAATGGCAAATCAGCTACTGGGAAGCAAGCAACATGAATTTTACATTTATGCTTTTAATACATGTATGAGTTCCAAACCAAGGAAATACTCCCTGGATAAGCCTCCCATGGCTAAATCCCTGGCTGTTCAACTCCTTCAAACTCTGGAACTTGCAGCTTTTTTAAACTTAATTTTTAATTGGGACCTTATATTGTTGAAACTTGCAGTATGCCTAACCCCCCCCCCCGCAAAAAAACCTAGATATTTTGTGGTTCTCCATGTGGGGAGGTGAAAATCAGCACAAGAGAACTGTATTTTGTCTATGGAAAAAAATACTTTCCCTCTTCTGCCCACTGGCATATTTATGGATAGATTCAAAATATATGGCTCAAGTGGACTGTGCCATTGTGTGGGTTTATGGAAATGCATAGTAAGAGATTCTTGGTGTATTGCCAATGCATGGGGTTCTGCTGTGCTTATGCTATGTGGATGGTCACATTTTTTATGACACAGTTGCTATGGGAGAGGCAGGAGGCTGCTCAGAAGGCTTTCCAATCCATCCCTTCTAAATGCTACTGCATTTGTGCTGAATGAGTAAAGGAAAGAGTCTTACTGTATTACAAGAGCTGAGCACCCTGCACATCACTGAGTATTGTATATGGGGGTAGGAAAGCAGTTTAAATTTCACAGGACATTCTAATTGTTTTGATCTTTCAGTAATATGTCTGGTTTCCAGATCTGGGCTGCAACACTCCAGGTCCTGCTAGGACATGGCTGCCATCTAGTGGTCATCTGGAGTTTTGCAATCCAGATCTGGTAGCCATAATCAAGTGACATTAAACTGTTTGCCATCAGCATCACTGCAAGTGACATACAATCGCTGTCTTTGCCAGGGTAGGAGAGTCAGACCGTTTCCATGTGTGAGGGTCACACCCATTTCACATCAGTACCACCCTTCCATGACCTTGCAATGTGCAGCTTCTGACCATCTTGAAACTCTTAAGCTGATGAACTCCAGAAGTTAATCATGTCAGTTTGTGTTCCAGAGAAAACACAGTGATGATAGTTGATGGATAGGAACTCTTGTCTCATCCCATTTCCTAATTCTGGGATTCCACCTCACTCCAGAAGCCAGACAACCTTGGTGCTTTGGTTCTCTCTCCCTCCCCCCCCCCTTCCTCACAGCAAAAGCAATCTTCAGGAGTGAAGATTGGGATGGGGTAGAAAGCTGCCTTTTTGGGGGGGGGGGCAGTCTCCCATTGCTGTCTAAAGGGAATCCAAGATGGGCTACTTACTGTTTGCAGAAGGCATGATCTCACACAAAGCCTGGATCTCTGGACCAGCCAACCAAGGCAGGCTCAGGCCAGATCAAGGGTATCCTTCAGGGTTAGGACATATTCTTTCCACCAGGTTTGTTACAAAGGTGTTCCTCTTGACTGCTAATACTCTGTCTGCTATGGCTAGACGTACTAACTCATTGTTTAACTTGGGCTTCTCAGAGATTTTGACGGCTTACCAAAGGAAGACCAGTAGGACAAATCTAGAATCTAATTCCAGAGACCTGGGCAATTTACCTGACAGCAAAATCAGACATCTGAAATTAAGGGTCTGAACAAACTGTATCCTGCTAGGATAGGATAAAGCATATGTTGATGTCTTAAGCAGCAAGAAATGATTATCAATTTCTATGCAATGGTGCTTATTAGAAAGTACATTAATCTAAGGAGTAAGATTTACAGTACTCCTTTGATAGGAGCTTGATAGGGGAGAGAATTTGATAGGCTTGAACCCAGATCTGGAGCACTGGCATTAATTAACCATGCCAACAAACTGTGCCAGGATGGAATCTGGGCCTAGCAAGTTGTCTCAAATCTGGAATTTACTAGATAAATTCTGGGCATTCCATAACCACATGGAAAAAACTTGCCCATCATTCCTGTTTATAAAATGTTCCCTGTACCAAATTG